GATGCCAAGAGGGCGACCCGCAGGGCAAGTGGTTAGCATGTCGGCCTCACAGCGGAGAGGTGCAGGGTTTGATTCCGACTCCGGCCTTCCTGTGTGGAATCCGCATGTTCTCCCCCATGCCTACGTGGGTTTTCTCCGGGTACTCCGGTTTCCTCCCATATTCCCAAAACATGCGTGGCCCATCGGAAAATGGATGGATGACGCCATGAGTCCATTGCGGCCTGCCTAAACGCGTCTTAGGTTTTCGGAAAAGCGACAACTCTTGCTGTCGTATTCGTTTGCAGGCATTTAATTTTTCAGAAGACACCGTTACAGCACCCTTGGTTGTTTTTTTTTTTTTTTTAAGTGATCTCAAAATAAATTTGAGCTGTATTTGTGTGCGTAAAATGTCAAATGAAGAGCTGAAACTTTATATGCAACTTTTGAGTCTCTCTTGACTAAGTGACAACTTGTAACTTGAAAAACTGGCTGTAATTTTTTTGTTTAATTGTTTTTTCCGCCCTGCAGCAGCGGAACTGTAGCGATCGGTGTTTAGCATGACAAGTTCGAAGCGTGGCGCCGGCTCACCTGCCCGCGCTCTCTCCTTGTGTTGTCGCACTTCGTCGGCGTGTGCCTTCTCCTGGTGTTTGATCATGTTCTTCACGCTGGCGAAGCGATTGCCGCAAAGCAGGCACTGCACGCCGTTGGTGCCGTCTGAGTCCACACACACACACACAAACACACACAAAAGAGCGGCATAAATGAGCGAGGGCAGGATGTTGATGAAGGCTTCGAACGGCAGGGAAGCTCACCGGGGTGAAGTCTCCGCATGTGCTTCTTCAGTTCCGACGACGTGACGAAGCTGCTCTCGCACTGCGGCTGGGAGCACTTGTACGGCGTCTCGCCTGGACGCAAACGGGACGGTGGGGCGATTACGCCATGATGCAGTCAAACGCACCTGTTTTGTGACGGGCGGCCCGCTTTCCTTACCCGTGTGCTTGCGCGCGTGCGCGATGAGCGAGGACGAGACGGAGAAGGACATGCCGCACAGGTCGCACTGGTACGGCTTCTCGCCCGTGTGCCGCCGCTTGTGGTAGGTCAGCGTGCTGGACTGAGCGAAGGCCTGGCCGCACACGTCGCACACGTACGGCTTTTCGCCGCTGTGCAGCCTGCAGGGGGGAGCAGCCACGTGACATTTATATTGCTTGGTTAAAAATGTGCGTGTTGAAAAACATTTGGTTTAGGTTTCTTTGGTTGAATTTAGGTGTCAGGTTGTTTAGTTAGCGAAAACTGCTAATAAAGGGCGTGAAGCAGCTTTTTGCATGCTATCCCGAGGGTAAATAGAGCTATGGATTTGAATATGTTTGGATCGTGTTCACATGTGTCAAAACATTGAGCAAAAATCAAATGAACCGCAAAACCCTGCCCCGCCCTACCTGACGTGGATCTTAAAGTTGGATGAGGTGGCGAACTTGAAGCCGCAGCGGTCGCACGTGTACGGCTTCTCCTCGCCGTGGTGCATGCGGCGGTGGGCCACCAGCTGACACTTCTGAGCAAAACACTTGTCGCAGTCGTTGCAGCTGAAGGGCTTCTCGCCTGCGGCAAAACACGGACGACGTCCTTGAGTGACGTTAACATGACCTTGGCCGCACATTTAAAACATTCTGCTGCCGTACTCGGCCGGCTCGCGACCCTCCGCGCCTTTATATGAATCCACCGCTTACCCGTGTGCGTGCGCAGGTGAGTTTTGAGCTGCGTAGCCTGTCGGAAGGTTTTGGAGCAGAAGATGCAGATGAAGGGCTTGAGGCCCGCGTGGATCTGCTCGTGCCTCCGCAGGCTGCACAAGTCTTTGAACGTTCTGTTGCACTCGATGCAGGACCGCGTCGTCTCTTCCGAGACGTTGGAGGCGTTCTGCTCCGCATCCTCCGCCGCCTCCGCGCCGCTGTCGTCGTCCTCGGCGTCCGTTTTGCTCCGGCCGCGCCCCCTCCCCCGGCCCCTCCCTCGACCCCGGCTGCGTCCGCGCCGCACCTCCCCGACGCGCTGCCTCTTGGCAGGCGGTTCGTCAAGCGAGGGGCTCCAGTCGGCCGACGTGTCGCCGAAATCCTTCACGCTCGTGTCGGAATCCTCAAGGAAGTCTTCTTCGGTCTTGACCTGGCTTATTCCTCCTCTTCCTCTGCCCCTACCCCGGCCCCTGCCGCGGCCACGGCCTCTCCCCCTGTGGGCTGCGGGTTTGAGGGTATTGTCGGCCGAGTTGCTCGGCTCTGCCGGACTGCTACTCTGAATTCCTCCTTCTTCATCCAAACAGGTGGTTTTGCTCCCCTGACTTTCCTGGCCTTCCTGATTTTCTTGGCCTTCCTGATTTTCTTGGCCTTCCTGACCTCCCTGGTCTTCCTGACTTTCCTCACCTCCCTGGCCTTCCTCGCCTCCCTCGCCTTCCTCGCCTACCTGGCCTTCCTTGCCTACCTGGCCTTCCTCAGCAACCCGTCCTTCCTGACCCTCATCCACCCACCCACCCGACACTGAGACGATGGCCAGAGAGACCGGGGAGTCAGGACTCCCCGGAGAGCCGGGACTGAGCGAAGAGAGGCCCGCCTCTTTGTCCAACTCTGAGTGGGACGCCTCGCCGGCCTCGGACGAGTGAGAAATTCCTTCCAGATACTTTGTAGCATCGGACATTCCCAGAAAGATGGCGGCTCGGCGGACAGCAGATTGTCTGGTGCTGAAAGTAACATCCATCAATAATACATTTATTATCAGCGGTGGGTAGTAACCAAGCACAAAACGTCGGCTAGCGCCTGAAAAATTTTAAGCTGTATCTTACCTGCTGAGGTTCATCTGTCCCGTGTAGACAAACTCCAGCAGCTTCTCCAGGGCGTAGCGGCTGACTTTGTCAGGGTCCAAAGTGGTGATGTCTTGGTCCTTCTCAGCCTGGGAGGAGAAGTACTTGCTGAACGCCGCGAGGATGTTTCGATGAGCCCGGAACTCCACGTCTCTCACCATGATGGTGACGTCGCACAGGAAGTCCATTTCCCGCTGCTGATGCAGGCGCTGCAAGAGCAGCTTGCCATGATTGGCGCTGTGAGCCATCGCTATCGGAGAGTCGACATTAATCACACCTACTCTTGTCAATCCAAGCTAATTTCTCTCAGACAGACTATGGCGTTTCACATTGTATGATAGCAGGAAGGAGTGAGAACAGGCTCTAAGGAATACGTGTGTTAGTAAAGTGTAAATGTTTATTAAAAGCGTGTAGGATGGGGGAAAATTACATTTTAATAAAAGTTAATTCACAGGTGTATCTGGAGTGTGTAACACTAAAAACTTTCTTACTGTCAGCAGTTTGCCAGTGATGCTGAGAAGTTGAGTCCTCTGTTAATGTCACTTGTGTGTGCTCTACAAGAAATAAAAGAGAGTTAGGGTTTAAACAAGGGTTTACTTTTAAATGTATGCTTTAAATTTACACGCTGCTGCATTTTAAGTACCGGTTTGGGTTTCAAAGTCAAGTCCAGCGTTAGTGTTCACACCACCGGGCTTGGGTTTCTTTGTACAGTTTCAGTCCGGTGATGGAACTTTAGATCAGGGTTTGCGTTTCGAAGAAAAGCTTTAAGCCGGAGCGACGGTTTTAAAGACTGAAAGTCGGGTTTCAAGACTGACCCAAGGTGAGAGCTTTAACTAGGGTTCAGGTTTAAAGTAGGGTTTTAAGACAACGAGGGCGTTTCAAAGGCAGGTTTCACGTCAGGGTTAAGGTTTGTAGGTAAGGTTTCAAGCTACTGTCAGGGTGTATAAGTAAGGTTTCGAGCCACGCTCAGCATTTCAAACAGTGTTTTGGGGTCTTTAATTGAGGTTTATTTAAACCAACATTTATTTTAGTTCATAACTGCCAAAGAAGTATCAAGGCAAGTTAAGCAAACTGTTGTGGTGAGAAGTCGAGTGGGGAACACTAGCTGTCGGCTAATAAGAAGCAGTTTTGGAAAATAAAAGCTCCCTCCCGTTTCCTGAGTAGGCCTTCGAGCAATGCTAATGCTAATAGCCGTGCCGAAGCTCGCCTTAAGAGAAAAGCCCCGTCTGCTTCGTGTGGCGCCGAGTCCACTTCCCAGCACGTAATCTCGCCAACACGCAGGTTCCGAAGAGCTTCTACCGCCCGCTTGTCGGTTCGGGCTGCTGTTGTCGAGAAGCTGAAGCTAAGCCAGCTAACACGGGACCAAAAGGCGTGCATAACAGTGTGCTCTTATTTCGAAGGATTCACCGATTGCCCCGGCGGTGGCCACATAAGTTGGCCCAAATTGCAGCAAACCCGCAATTCGGAGGTAAATCGTGCAAACGTGCCATTCATGGTCAGAATCACTTCACTTCAAAGCTCCATTTTTAAACGAAGTCAAAGTAAATAAAAGCAGTAAAGTGCTGTACCTTGGAATATCCGTGCACCGCGGCCGTTACCTCGGGATTGTATGAGATCTCGCGAGACTGAGGTGGCCGCCAAGCAAGACTCAAGAATCAGCTGCTCAGTCGGAATCGTAATGATAATATAAGTCATGCTCATCTTTGATGATATAAATAATTTATTCATATTAACTTAACGAATTACTTAATTACTCAAAACATGCAAAAGTATTTATTTTGTAATATTTGGGGTACTTTATGAAGAATACATTGAAGATGTGTTTCATTTACGTCAAATACTTTCACGGCGACTGGTCAAACGCGTACTACAAGTAACGCATGAAGTGAGAGCCTCTAACGTACTTTACAATTGTTATGACAACAATATATTTCAAGGGAATATTTTTTTTTCATTGACGTTCGCATTTTGGTTCGACGAGACCGCAGAAAAAACAACTGTGATCGACAAGCTTCGACTCCAATCAGGTGATAGAGGGTCGCAACGTTAACCAATGAATGATCACATCTGAGAAAGACCAGAACGCGATGAGACAGAACCAAAAATGATTGGCACGCGTTTTCTCCAATCAGGTAAAGACAATCTCATTACACTGACCAATGATTGCTCTTGGCAACAGAATCAACCCTTTTGCATTAGCATTAGCAGTCTCTCAACTGGATGTAGTTGTTGGCAACAAGGCTCGTTATCTTGTACCTTCTTGGTTGATATATTTAAATGAATCGCTACGTTTCCGGAACAAGTTGAATTTTTCAGGCGACAGCCGACGTTTTTTATGTTTAGATCTTTATTGCGTTCGACGCAAGCCTGCATTTAGTGCTTGTGTTTAGCGCTGATGCTAATGTAATACATTCTCCATCACTTGTAGCGAGCTACTTCAACCCTCTTGTTTGCTCGCTCGCGATTAGGAGCAGTTGTATCCTAAATTCAGGTGCTGCTGTCATGGGGGAGGTGGAGCTGTCATGTCGGGCCTACGTTAAGATGTACCTCCACGCCTGCCTATTTCCCCGTTGTAGCGTCAACGGGCTGCTGTTGTCTTCCAGCTCGGCAGGGGGCGCGGTCTGCGTGACTGACTGCGTGCCGCTGCTGCACTCGCACCTATCCCTGGCACCTGTCACTCAGCTGGCACTCACACAAGTAAGAACCCGCTAACATGGAGGATGCAGACCATTTAATGAACATAATCCTGATGTTGCAGGTGGACGTGTGGTGCTCGCAGACGCAGCAAAGGATTGTGGGATACTACCAAGCCAATGCCTGCGCGTCAGACTGCAGGTGAGTCCCTGCCAATTGTCCATAAGTAAACTTAGTTACAAGAGAGGTGATGGAAGCAACCAACCTTTGACAGCCCAACACAAGCAGCCATGAAGATCGCCGACAAGATTGCAGAGCAGTTTGACGGCGCCGTTGTACTCATGGTCAGAATGTTTTATTCGCCTCAAACGACGACATGCAGGTACGAAGCGTCTTCATCTGTTCTGATGTTTGTCACGCTCTACAGCTGGACGGGAGCAAAATGTCTCCTGACTACCGGGTTCCTCCCATCGTCATGTATGAACGCAAAGACTCGAGATGGATGCTGAAAGACAAGCACACGTAAGGAGAGGTCATGTCAAATTCTGCCGTGTCCAGGTTTTTGCTGAAGAACAGCCCACTAGCTTGATGGTAACAGAATCCAAAACGCCATAGATGGGCTATCTGAAATTAGTCTAAATATTTTGGTCATTTTAAACTTAACACAGCTGCTACTTTAACGAAAGCAAAGACATTTACATTGATCCATAAACATTTTATTATGAAATAATGATTCACCTCTTCCAATTCCAGGATCATGCTGAGGCAGTGGGAGGAGACGCATGGGATTGCCATCCAGATGTTGGAGTCCGGCGACCACTCGCTCTTGGTGGATTTCGACAGCCACCTGGATGACATCACCAGAGACTGGACCAATCAGAAGTTGAACGCCAAAATCGCTGAGCTGGCCTCGCCAGCCAATGGTAATATCTAGAAGCAAGGGAGAAGTCCTTCAAGTAATTCATGAACTTTTTTTCCTGTTACCGGGAGGGATAATAACAAGAATGCTGTTGAAAACTTTTATTCTTCATCAAGTTGTTTCACGAACACAACAGAACAAATGACAAGAGCAGTATGTGTGCCAACCCTTGTTTTTGTCCCGAGGAATGTCGTTTTGACTTCAAGGACATGTAAACACGCCACAAGAAGACTCCACTTCACATTCCATCCACTTGGACTTTTTCCGTTTATGCTGACATGAAATGACCCTAACCTATCAGTGAGTGTGTTTAATAATAATAAAAAGGTTAACCGTGCACTATGTTTTTGGTTGTTAGTAAAAAAAAAAAAAAAAAAAAGTTTGATTGCCAAAAGATGGCAGCACGGTGCTACTTTTCTCGAAACAAAGCTCCCCAATTCACTCCAAACATGACACCAAGATGGGCATATAAAAACAGTTATTAGGTCACTTTTTCATTGACTAACAAGTGCACAAATTCTAAAAATAGGGGAAAAAAACCCCAATTGCCAAACCATAAATATTCACGACATGATTTTGATCTTCAGAATGAATGACAAGATTGACATTTTGCATGTTCTCAAGTGTCAAAACCGGGACACGAAAATAACTACAAATGTGACAAATATCGGATATCTGCTGATGTGAGCGCAGCGTAAACGCCTGGACGAGATAAACCTGGTCGATGTCTGCACAAATTAAAAAAAATAAAATAAAAACCTGCTGTAAACAAATTACACTAAGAATATAACATTAAATATGGTCTAAAATTAATACAGTGGAGGTGCATAGAACATTAAATACGTTAAGTTGGGCGGGTCAATGTAGGCGGAACGAACGCGACGAAACACGCCATAATTGTGTTATTTACTGGACGTACGACTGCATACGTCCATGTTGTCACGGCACAATGTTGACACTTGTGGAGTTTTTTCGATGCCATTTGGAGGTCTGGTGGTGGTTTTGTGTGTTCTAAGAATGTAAACAGAAACCTCTGCACACCCTTGTCCAAATGACAATTTTTTTGGTGATTTAAAAAAAAAAAGACCAAGATTTTTCCAACTGTCCTATCAGTCATTTATATTTCCCACTTTGAAAATATTGAAGCTGTTGTACAGGTTGTAGGTCATGCTACTGGCGGGAAAAGTTTTGAAATGAGTTCTCTTGGTCGAATTTTGTTATCACAAAATTGGCATTGAACGGGTGTGTTGACTTTTGATGACCTCTCGACATAGAATCGAATTCTCCATTAAATTGGCCACCTTGAGCCCCAGTGAAATTCCAGCCAGTGTGTTTTGTCCCAGTTTGTAGTGTGTGCCACGTCGTTCCATTCAGTCGGGCAGAGTTCAAACTTGATGAAAATACCCCCGCCTATTCAAGAAAAGTGACATTTGTGCTATTTTGGCTCAAGAGCCCGCTGCGACCTTCCGTCAGGGCGCCGGCTCGGCCGTCTGCACGGCCACCAAGTTGAGCGTGATCTCGTCCAGCGGAGACTGCAGGAGGCCGTAGGGGTCCAGGATGGAGCGAGCGCTTTCCACCTGCTGCTCGGCCCACGGCAGCGTCACCTGACATCCGCCACCAAGAACAACAATTAAAAGGACATGCCAGATTCAAACATCCGGACCATGGACGTGTCCCCAGGTTTGGCCAGGAAGTGCCCCCCCCGGGTACTCGAGTACCTGAACGATGATGAGTTTTCCGGTCGGATCGTCGGTGCAGCTGAGTTCTTCGCCGAAGCTGAGAGTGAGGCTGCACTGCGGCGGCTCGCCGCCGTTCACGCGGAAGTTGTCCAGCTCTGAAATTTCGACCGTCATGACAAGAGGCACAAAAAGTCACAAGTCGGCCTACGTTTGAAGACAAATGAGAGCCAATGTGTGAAGGCGGGAGCACTGAGCTGGCCACCGCAACTCACAGCTGACTTCTCTGTGAAGGACAACGTTGCACTCTTATTGCGAAACTGATCAACTCTTCAGATTTGTAATTAAAAAAAAAAAAAAAATCTATCAAAAAATGTCACTACTTTAAAATTGATCAACTTTTATAACCTGCGAAGATAATGATGGTCACGCAAAACACTTGACGACAATTTGACTTTTTTGTTTTTCCCCGAAGGGGTGGACCCACTTTTGTTGCCAGCAGTTTAGACGTTCATCTCTGTAGCACTGTAAAAGGCATGTGCCTTGACCGAATTTGTTCGGTGACCACGCTTGTTCCAAATTTTCAAAAAAAAAACACCACCAAAAATTAAACAAACAAACAAAAAAAAAAACCACTATAAAAATAAACAATGGAAATAATCCAGCGGTTTTTGTGCATGTCATGCTTCAAGTTGACATCCTACAATGTGAACTTTCACTTTTTCCCCCAAGCAGATATTGAAGCAAAACAATCCAAACACATTGCCACTCACGTTGCTTGAAGGCGTCTTTGCTGAAGAGCAGGACGGGCTCAGAGTTCCTCTCCATTTTGCACAGACCGGGCGAGGTGGTGTGCGGCCCCGTCCAGAAGACCCGGCCGCGGCAGAAGCGGCGGCCGTACACGCCCTGGCAGGTGGACGTGAGCACCACGCCCCTCTCCATGAAAGGCAGCAGGGAGAGCAGCGCCGCCCTGTCGGTGGGCGGCAAAGGCGGCGAGGGCAGCGGTTCCGGCAGGTGGATGCGCGGGAAGCAGACGTCGGGGGTCGGCGTGGGCGGCATGGGCGAGGTCGACGGCGCGTACAAGACGCGCACGTCGGGCCCGTGGATGTGACGTGTCAGCATTTGCTGGCCCAAGTAGTGCACCGTCACGTGTAGTGAGTCCTTTTCTAAGCAACCATCCACAAAATACAATTCTTTTTTTTTTTACATTTCCAAATTGATGTTCTTTCATCCTCAATGAAACAAATCTATACATGTTGATTTGCAATTTAAATAATTAGTTTTGCGACCTGTCGCATTATTCATTCCATTCTATTTTTTGTTCTTTCACTTAAAAAAAAAAGTTCTGTAATGCTACCACAAAGAATTCCTTTGCAATTCTAAATAAATGGAATTTTGCCATTTTATTGTTGATTACATTTTGGTTGGTGCCCCTTTTACATATCTTACATAGATTATCCTCCCACCCACCAAAAAAAAAAAAAAAATTGAATTGAATTGCAATTTTGACACTTTGCCACAGTTTATTGTATTTTTCGTTCAATCATATTTTACGTTCTTTTACAAAGAAGGATGGATGGAGCGGAACGCTTACCTTCCGGAGAAGGCGTGACGCTCTCCTCAATGCGGACGTCCAGTTGGATCTCGCTGAGCGCTGGAGAGACGGAAAGTGCAAAAAGGGCGCAGGTGTCATGCAACGTTCCTCACAGTGATCGTCAACTAGATGTCTTACCCCGCTTAGCTTAGCGTTTGCCAAACTTTGAGGCCTGACCCTGATCTTATGGCACAACACGAAACAAAAACGTCACAAAAAGTATACGTTGGCGTGATTCTCCCGAAAAGAGCCCACGCACGTGCTTACTTCAAGCTGCACGTTGTGTATTTAAAAAATAAATAAATAGAAATAGAAAACTGAATCAAAGACTGTTAGCTCAATGCTAATGCAAAACAGCATAAATTGGCTAACTCATCTTAGATTCTTCATCCTCTGCAAACAACTCATATCACAGGTTCATTGTATCTTCTGCCATTTAGTGGAAAAAAAAAATATTGTTCTGCCCGTCAGTACAATATACTTTGCTGGCATTAACAGATGAACATTTTTTTTTTTGGTCATAAACCCCCCCAAAATGATTGAAGTCGCATATATTAGCGGCGTTTAGAACTGTGGTTGAAACTCACGGGCTTCCTGTGTGTCGCCGTCTATCTGGACCGGATGCTGTTCTGGCAGGAGATGCTCAGTCTGGAGCTCGACGTCTTCAGCACGCTGCGCCGCAGCCACAAAACACTGTCACGCAAGCTAGCACGCTAACAGCAATAAAGAAAGAATGCTAACAAGCTAACACAACAAGTCTGCCTTTTCTTCTTCTTGTGTTTGGGACATGTAGCGTAGCGTGGCAAGAATCCTTTGAATTTGTACACTTTTAACTGATTTGACACGCACCAGCTGGATTTTGACGTCATCCTCCATCTTGATTCGCTTGATGTGAGCCACTTCTTCACCGACTGCTCCGTCTCTGCTGCTGCAGCTGCTCCTGCGCTTCGACTTCCTGACGCTTTTCTTACGACATTTCTTCTCCGGCTTTTGTGCTCCTTGACAGATACACAAACCAAACGAGTCAGCATGTTTTTTTTTCTTTTAATGTGCTTATTTACTTTATTTTATTCATATGTGGGTGTGAATGCTTGTTTGTCTGTATGTGAACTGACATGGAGCTGCAACCAGTCCATTGTTCTTCTATCTCTAGGCAAGCTACCCCCAAAAATTGGCGAGCATACCATTTTCACCCTGCTCGCCGGTGGGTACCAGTCGGTAGACTTTGTAGGGCTCGGAGATGTCCAGCTGGGCTCGCTCCACCACCTCGCTGAACTCGGGGCTCTTGTTGAGGGCGCAGCGCAGTCGCGTCTTCCAGCTGGCCGGATTGCTGTCGCTCAGCCTGCCCTTGAACTGCGCCCACGCCTCAACAACAAAAAGGATGTTTTTCCTTTTTTTTTCCCCTTTCTTTTCTTTGTTGGCAACTTTTGTAGTTCTGGTGACATGCACTGCTTACACCCACAACACTTATCCGCTTCACAACCGACACTTTTTTGGAAAAGTGTCGGTAGGAAAATTTTAAGGCGCATGCGATGATTCGACAACAACGGACAAACAGAGAGCAACTCGTTCACAAAAGACGAGTCGGCTTTCCCAACTTAGCTATTCGGTTGCGATATTTAGCAACATTTCTGAGCCCTCGAGCAACTTTAATTTCACTCAGTGGAATCATTTTCACATTGTTTTGGGACATGTCGTTTGATGGCTCATTTTATAATCTTACATTGATTGATTCATTTAAAAATGTGAATTTATGATTAAAAACCACATCTATTTGCGAAAACACTCACAATGAGGATAAAGAAGATGTGCAGAATCGATGGCGGCCCAAGCTTGAACGGTCCCCCATGTGCGAGGAAAGACCCACGCTCACCTTGAAATCATTTAAACTTTATTCCCCCCGGCATAATCGATCTGGATTCATCTTCAACGCGACAGGCGGTTGTCAAGGATTTCTTTCGATTGGGAGCCGCCCAACCTTAACAAACAGTTTCTTGTCTGATGCATCGATGAGTCACACAAGAACCGAGTAAATGCACCTAAGTGCAGCTTGAGGGAAAGGCCGAGATTGTGTAAGCATCAGACATGAGCAAGCTCTCACTGAGCTTGACGCGGAGAAACGAACCGGCGCGACCTTCAACACAACAGTAACCTACTAACTAAAGAATAAACAAGTCGCGGAACGCGCATGCAACTACTAGAAGGAAACACAAACTCACATTGAAACCCTGCTCTTTACAAAATGCTGCTTGCCATTAGATAGGACGCCCTTCCAAACAGAATCACACACACACAC